TCAAGTATTTTAACAAATATTACCTTATTTAATTTTCATAAAACTCTATATAATAGGTACAATTATTATTCCTATTTTAGCGATAAGGAATCTGAGACAGAGCTAGCTTATGTAACTTGCCCAAAGTCACTCAACTAAATGGTGGAAATGGAATTCAGTCTTGGAATCAATACTGCCCAGATTTCCCAGCAAAACACCTAGGAGGTATTCCAAACAACTCCTCACCTCACTTCAAAATGGAAACTAAATTCTATTGATTTTTACCTTCTAGGTATTTCTGTAATTCATTCTTTCCTTTCTAACTCCAGCACCTCAATTCAATTCCTTACAATTTCTTTCCTGAAACAACTCAGTACCCTTCTTACTTTTTACTATGCCCCTAAGTCTTGCCCCTTGCAACTCATCCCCCACACTGCCAGGAGTAATATATCTAAAACCAAATCTAATCGTGTTGCTTCCAGCTTAAAACTATGCAGTAGTTACCCACTGCCTTCATGATAAAATTGAAACTCCTTAGCATGGCATATAAGGCCAAGCAGCCTCATCTGCCACCACCATTCCTACAATCCAGAGATACTCATTCTTTACAATTTACCGAAGGTATAGTTTACAAATATGTGCCTTTTCAAATCACTTCCTTATCCTAAGTCCCCTCCAGGTTGAAAGAGGTGACTCTTCCAATTATGATTTTACTTGTTTTTCTCCATGATTTTATAGGGACACCTTTTGAAAGCTAGGGCACGTGACTTCTTTTTCTGTACATCCAGCATCTCCCATGGCACTTGGCACATGGTAGACACTGAGTAAATTCATGATGAATGAAAGAACGGACACACAAGTGAAATGCTTTAAGCTCATCTCAAGTGTTTTGTCAGACTAATACGATAACCACTGAACAAAGAGTGAAATTGAGTTTGGCATTTGTGATGCAGCTGTAGCCCTCTAAGCAAAGCTTTGATCATGAACTTCCCTTTTAATTGCAGCCTTCTATGATTCTACTCAAAGTCAATTGACACCTTTTGCCAGCACCAGTTGCCTCAGAAGCAGAACCACCAAGAAATGTAATTCCAGAATATTGGGAGTTGGATCAAATGGCATCAGATATACGCTGGCAGCTCTCTATGCCAATGTCCACATCTATTAAGTTTGTTTACTAACCAGTCTCATTATCTATTTCATGTTGGAATTTCTTTAGGGTGTGGTAGAATTGGACAGATGGGTTGAAAGTCTTCCTTCAGGCATAGTACACACAAAATTGGGCAGATGGGCTCCAATAAGCAACCTCTAGGCCTGGAACACATGGACAAAGGAGGGATAAAAAGAATACACCATTGTCTAGTAACGGGTAAAAATAGCATAGAGAACAGACAAATTTAAAACTAAGATTTTAAACGCATAAAGCAAAACAGCATCACTTCCCTTCAAAGGTACAGATTTTCAGGCAACAACTTTTATATTATAGTAATAAAAGACCTCAGAAACCTAAAAATAACTTACCAAAAAAAAGACCAATCTTAGCAATAGGAGATGTCAAAGTTTTCTAGTAATAAGAGATAGGCCTTGGTCTCAGTTAATATTTCTATGAGTTAATTGGAAGAGGATCCTATAGAATATTAAATAAATGGGCAAATGATATTAATCTGAGAAGAAAGGATTGATGTTCAAAAGCATTTCCCCGGGGTCAAAAGATGGATTGAAATCATAAAATGAAGAGATAAATAAAAAGTATTGCACTTAGCTCCCCCTAAAACCCAAGAGAAAAAAAATAAAAAGCCCTACACAAGCGTATGATGTAGATAGGTATTTGAGCAGTACATATAAAAAAGATCAGGAATTAGAGACAACAACATAGTTGAAGGCCCAAAAGCATGAAATAGCTGGGAAAAAAAAAAAGTAGTTTAAACACAGTTTAACCTGTGTTAATAGAAGAATCATATCTGCTGTGGCAGTGGGATGCTAACTACACTGGAGAGCTTCTATTCATATCTCCATTTCCAGGTTCCACACTTCTCCATCCAGTGGAGTGCTGCAGGAGACTCCTTACCTGTACACACTGCATCAATGAGCTCTAACTTCCATCTGGGTTTGGCCAAATGGGACACAAGCAGGAGGCAGGAGGGAGGAAAGAGAGTGAGGTCAGGGTATTTATAACCATAAGACCTTCCTTGGACCTCTAGCTGGTTGAGTCCCTCTAGAAAAGGTCATGGCCCTGCCTGGCAACCAATTCCACATATTCTTCTCTACCTCTACATTCCAGGTATGACTCTCTTTTCTTGTTCCTTTAGGGAAGGGGTGGTAAGTATACTTTGCTATCAATAGCTCCATCCCACCTGGATTTTTGTAAATAGCCCCTTTATTAAAATATCCTCAAATTATCCAATTCTGTATAACATTTATTTCCTGCATCTATTTCCTTGGCTGATAAACTAACATTTATTGAATACTGACTATATGCCAAGACCTGTGCCAAACACTTGGTATGAGCTGTTGCATTTAAAGTTTTCAACATCCCTCTAAAGTAGTTCTATTGTTGCCCCACAAACTTTGCAGATGAGGAAATGCAGGTTCCCAGAGATTGACTTAAGGTCAAACAACAAGTAGATGGCCAAGCTGGATGTGATCCCAAGCCATCTGACTTACAGCCCATGCTGTTAACCTCTATCCTCATCTCATTCTGTTCTGAATAGTTCAGGTCCCATCTGGAAATAGTTCTTTTACCCTGTCTTCATACTTTCAGAGGAATTAAACAAAACAGAGGTGTGGTTAGAGGCAATGCCAGGAAGAGTGAGGGGTCCTTGCATCTCTGAGAAATATAGAGGGGGTGCAAATCTGTAAAATCTTCCTGGATAGCAATTTGGAAAAATGTATCAAGAACCATAAAAAAGGCTCTTTTCCTTAGGCCCAGTAATTTCACTTATAAAAGTCAATCCTAAGTAAATAATTAGAGATATGAATAATGCTAGGAAGTTTATTGCAGAGTGAGTTATAAGAACAAAATCTGAAATAACCTATTCTGTTGTTCAGCAATAGAAAAATAGTTAAATAAATTATGTATATGTATATACGTATGTTCTTATATATGTTATGGAGTATTAAAGCTATTAAAACTATGTCTTTAAAGATATGAGTTAGAGAAATTCTCACAATGTTAATATAGGATCAAAAGAGGTTATCAAACTGTATATTCTACATTTTAAAGTATCTGTGTTCATGTATGCCTGTATGTGTAGTACAAAACAAATTTTAAGATAAAACGACAAAATATTAACTATGTTTTATCTTTATGTTCTGAGAATATGTATGATCGCTTAACTTCTTTCGTATAACGTTCTATTTGCTTTCCTGTATTTTCAAGTTTTGTATAAAAATGAACAAACAAAAAAACAGCCCATTGCCATCAAGCCAATTCCGACTCATAACAACCCTATATAGTAGGCTGGAAAAATAAATATTATTTTAAAACATCAATAATAACTATGAGCCGTGGTTAAATAATAGGAACCACACAACCTAGAAAAGGGAAGTTTCAAGAAAATGTGAATGAAGAGCTATGGAAGGGAAGGGGGTTTGATACTTGTCCTGTAAGACTCAAGTGGCAGAACGTGAACCCACAATAATTAGAGGAAGACAGACTTTGGCTTAATACAAGGATACGAATCCTAATAGAATTTCAAATAATGGGAATAGGTTGCCTTGAAAGGTTTTATTATTTTTTTTCTCTCACTGGAAGTATGCAAGAAGAGGCTGGATGATGATTTTTCAGGAATTTTCTTACTGTGATATAAAGTTTGGACAGGTAGTTATGCCTAGAATTCTCTCCCACCAGAGATTCTAAAATTTGGGTGCTACTAATAATGATATCTGGATATTTCCTTACCATTAGAGATTTATTTCTTTGAGAAAGGTTTTAAGAAAGGATTCTGGGCATCCTCTTTTAGTCTTCTTGTTGTGGCAAAGTAGAATGCCTTACCAAGTTCAAAACTAGCTCCTTTGAGGACAGGGTACATATCCTGTCAGCATTACATCCTTATTGCCTAGAACAGTTCCATGTATATAGCCTACCTAAAACAATTCTTTTTTTTTTTTTTAATTTAAGGAAGCCAGTGTACCAGAGCCAGTTAATGCACTACCCCACCTATCCACCCCACCTATCCCTGAGTCTCGGTAAATGTCCCAATTTCCAGCTGGACGAGCCTCATCTCCTAGCATCCACTGAATCTCTGACCCCTCCACTAGCTGCCCAGGGAGACAGGGAACACAACAAAAAAAGATAGGGAAGTTAATGGCTTTAGGGTAGACTTGGACCAAGAAAGACAGATCAGACGGATCTGTAGGTGAATTGCTTGTCTTTCTCCCATACCTTCTTCCCCATATTTTCCCAAGATGCAATGGTTCTATAACTCTTCTCCCAAGGCATCTCACATAACCAGCAACCACCATGTTTTCTTGAGAAGCTGTGGCTACCTTGCTTCCCTGCCTTTTCTCCTTCATTTTTCTTTCTCTCTCTGGCTTCTCTGGATTATTTGTCCCAATAAAGTACTGGCACATAAGCTTTCCTGCAGGGCCTGTTTCCCAAGGTAGGGCTTTAAGACAGCAATTGAAATTTCATTGTAAGTTTGTTGATCACAGGATATCCAAGTCAACATGTATTCAATGATTCTCCTGAGAGAGTGAGCCACAGGTAAATCTTGATATAGAGAACAAGAGGGAGAATCGATCTGTAGCCCAGAGGTGGCAGAGTCTTGGAATGAGCAGTAGCATGAAGACCCTAGGGCTCAAAACATGGTTTGATGACAATAGTCTGATGATATGGTATGATGACAGATGGGCAAGAGAATGACCAGTAAAAGCCAACTCTGCCCACATCTAAAGCTTGCCTAGGGAAAGCTTTAGTAGTAAACTCACTCCTTGCTTTAGCCCTCCCTAAGCCCCATTAAACAACCCAGAACCCTTTCTCACAGAGCTTAATTCCCATTATACTCAATCCTTATCTTACTCACCAACTTTCAGCTCCCCGCCTGCAATGACCATGCATGCCACGCTCAGAACGTTGCTTCTGTCCACAGGGAATTCTAAAGTCCCTTTTACATAGAGGCCTTCGAGAAGGGGAAGATCTGTATCCACAAGGACAGTCCTGTCTGAAGAAGAAAAAGAAATTGCTCAGATGTGTAACCTAAACAAGAACTACCTTGTGCTCCCAGTGATTTATTCTGAGGTTTTCCAGGCAATTCAGGAGATGTCTTAGTTGCTACCTATGCCAGGATAGGCGTAGCAACTGGAAGAACAAACAATCTGCCAAAGGCTAGGCCTTAATAAAAAGACAGAAATAAAAAAGAACCATGATTAATACATTCTGCTATTGCTTAACATGCCAAACGTTATAGACAAAAGGTACTTACTTATGACCCAAACAAATGTTCTAAACCTACTTCAGTGCAAACACACAGATAAGCTCCCTTGTCTTTGCCCCTGTCCCTTTACTTTTCTCTAGTTTCAGAGAGGCAGTTTCAGTAGATATGACCTTGGCCTCTGAAGTGAAACCCAGCTCTGCCACTTACTAGCTGTGTGGGACAACAATACTTTCCTGTGTCTCAGTTACCTCATTTGTAAAATGGACAAGAATAAAAAATACCTACTTTATTCATAGAGTTTTTTGTGAGGTTACATGAGTCAATACATCTACAGTGCTTAAACAGCGCCAGTAAGACGTTCCCAATTCTCCACTTCCCGCTGTATTAGGCAAAGGGCCTGATAACTGCTCAATAAATATTGGTTATTATAATTATTTGCACTGTTGTCCATTAGCTTGGCATGCATACAGAGCTCATCAAGCAACTTGAAACCACTATTCTTCATCTCCTCTTTCATAAAAGCAGTTTCCAAATAACATCAGAAGAAATAATCATGGATTTTGACTGAAGGTAACAATAGAGTAATACATGAATAATAAGTTCTCTTTCAAAACACAGTAAATATTTCATGTATGCAAAGCATTAAGTGTTATTTTTCTGAAGCTTATGAGTAATTCAACATGAATTAAAGATATCAAATAAATGTTTCTGTTTAAAAACCAAGTACCATAATCCATAATCTCTAGCACATGCGAAAAAATTTCTTTTTACATGCAAAAATTTTTAAGAATTCTTTTTTAAAACATAATTCTATTTTGCATTCCAGGAAACAACGCAGGTTTTAAGGACCTGCTCAAGCAAATTAACTTTTCATGACTTGTTTTGTCTAGCCTCTGCCTACTTCCCTAGCTACAAGACAGGCCATACCTTCCTGTGGAGGAGACAGTGTGGTTATAAACCAAACCCTTTCCCACTTCCTCCTGGGTTCAGTTAGACTACATTTCCCAGCCTCCCTTGCAGTTAGATGAAATCATATGACTGAGTTGTGGCCAACAAAGTGTAGGCAGAATTGAAGTATGACATCTCCAGTTCTGGTCCATAAATTCTCCTGCATATTCTCTCTTGTTCCCCCTGTTTATTATGGGTTGGATGTAGAACAGCAGTTCTCAAAGTGTGTCATGGTCCAGTAGCATCAGCATCACCCACTCATCCATCAATGCCTAATCCCTCCACTGGCCCCACCACACCCGCTTTGGAAACAGCTCCAATGACACCTTGCACAAACTTACATCAGAGCACTACAAGGCACTGTTGTAATTATGTCTTTCTCTCCCACTGTTACTTCCTTAAAGGAAGAGACTATTCACGATCTTCTTTTAAATCCTCAGTGCTTACTGTAATGCCTAAGATAAAAACGTTAAATACATGTTGCCTAGATCTGTTGAGTTTAGTCCCCCACATATCTTAAATTCAAAAGTTCATAAGTGACTGTACAAAGTGAATGATTAGGTTAAACAGATATAAATACAGATAATTGCTTTAATCCCATCTCTGGCACTTTTCAAAACATTCAAGCAGGAGACTGGAATATCTAGAGAATGTTCTAGGCTTAGCATATATTTTATGGACTTTTGATTTTAAGATAACTTCAAAGGCAGGATAAAAATTATTTAAAGCAAACACCTTTAAAAATAAGAGTTCTATACAAGTGGCCTTTATCTAGTCTAACTAAACCTACTAACGTCTGGTTATTGAGTCTGATTATACAAAACAAAACAATTAATTAATTTAATAAATGCTTTCTCTCATCCACAAAGTACTCACTAAAAAAAAAAAAATTAAAATCTCGTTTGAGCATACTTCTCAGTTAAAATATGACATTACACAAAATGTTATAATTTCCCTTATGATCTTTAACACATAACTTTCTTAGAAGAAATGTTTCCTTTAATTGCTCTGCCCACTCCAAATACACCAACAAATCTCCCATGAATCACAAATAGCCTATTGTAGACTCCATGAGGACAGGGACCCTAACTGCCATCCTCACTTTTTTTTTTTTTTTTTTTGCTCAGCACTTAGAACAATACCTAGCACATAGTAGGTGCTGAACAAAGAACACTAAACAATACACACACACACACAAGTAAAATCTAATAACTATCAGAGAAAAGTATGGGATGAAGACAAGAGTAGAAGTTTTGCTCTTATTTCTAGTAAATTTTGTCTCAAACTTTTCACTTTCAGCTTTCCTGGATCCATCTATCCATCTTCTTTACTCTTTTCCTTCCCTGTGATATGCCAAATCTTGGCAGGTGATGGTAATTCGAAGATGAGTAAGATATGCTTCCCACCATTAGATGAAGACAATATAAACACATAAATATTGTATGATATATTTGTAATAATGATATACTCTTTCATTATAGGGAAGTTGACTCTTTCTTCATTCCCAGCTACATCAAATTGGAAAGTTTATCAATGTGCCTATTCTAACAAAATTCTGCTGAAATATAAATATATGCCTTATAAATATTTTTATAAAGGAATTCTTCTTGTATCACAATAATATTCAGTGGTTACAGCTATAGTTCCTAGTAACGCAACAGAAAAAATTCACCCCAATGTGGCCTCCAGAGCAGACCAGCTGCAGGCCCAGACAGACCAATCCTCAGCCATATGACAGCCTGCAGAGACTTTTTCTCCTTTCCAGGTGAGGAAAGTTGGGATCAACATGCCACATTCTCTAGAAGTAACATTCTTCCTATGAAATTGCTCAAGACATTTCAGAGTAATCACTTAGAAGTAGTTACTTGTACAACCTATTTAATAAACATAAATGATGGACCACCTCTAAATTAGCTGTGATCCAATGCTTGCCACTTTGCCTTGACTTGACCACAGCTACTCCATCCTACTCTGTTGGTGACCAATCTATCCTACTTGAGAGAATGAGCACTGGCATATGGAAGGAACCATCTGGAATTTCTGTTGCTCAATAGGAGGCTGATGGGAGAGCTGATCTGGAAAGAGACTCCAAAAAGAATTAATGAGTTCCAGATGTAATTAAAGACTGCCATTCCCCCCAAAGGGGCTCAGGACTAGCCACAGGGTGGTGAATCTTGATTCCGAATTACACCCTCTTACAACTTGTCCATCCATCAAGCACTAAACAGCTACCATCTTTATGTTAGCATCTTTTACAAAGTGTTTTTGTTTTTTTTTTTTTTTCTGAAAGGGTGGTATTTTGACAATTAGAAGGATCAATATTCAGAAATAATATCTGGAAAGTTAACATTTAGGAGAAATCACGTGAATTTCCTTGTGCACCAGTACAACAACAATAACAAAAAAAAGGCTTTAGTCTTCCGTAAACATATGAGCAGCCCTCAAGACCATAAAGGAAGAGCCAAACTGAAAGATAACTCTGGCAGAGGGCAAAGGCTTCTTTTATACCAGGAATAATTTGAATACCATAGTTACAAAGCATTGCATATAATTTCAACACCAAGTTTAAATTCACTTTTTTTTTTTTTCCCCAGCAAAGTCAGGGAATCAAGGTCACTATTGTGTAGCATTCCAAGGGCCTGACACTTGTCTAAATCCTATTGAAATGAGATCAAGGACAAAGGGCACAGATCCTGGGAATAATGATGAGGTCACATGAACAGGCATAATTTAGGGCAGGCAGCTCCATAGCTTGTATGGCATTCACTGTATCAGGCCCCATAACTTAGGTGGGGAAGACAGTTTCCACTACAACCCTGCTATTGTAGGGAACACAGCCTACAACAACTTTGGACATAGCTCTGACTTCTGAGAAAGAGTAATGGCATGCAAAGGCAGAGCAAGACATACCAGGACTATTTGCAGGCTCATTATTTTCTGGTACCTTCTATAATTAATGGGTTTGCTTCTACATTTAGTCTTAGCCCCAATATTTTCTTAAAAACATGTGAACCAAAGGAAAAATAAATTTTAATACCATTTGAATGACTATTAAATGACCTAATTTTCCTTTATAAAAAGAGAAGAGTATTTTTTCACTCAAACATGACTACTTTAAAAACTTTAAATAAATATTTGAAACAATGATTGGTGGTATTTTCTTTCCTTTGCAGTATTGTTTAACTTTCAGAGATTCTAACAATTTATCTGAATATTCTAGCTACCATAATTTATGAGGATGGCTGATACATCCAAGAAAAGTACTCCAAAAATAGATTAAAAGCTGTCATACATAAATAGCTCATGGGGTAAAGGTTAACATGACTGAAAATTAGTGCAAGTAGACTAATTTACTGAGATGCTGGTATGAGATTCTCAAGAGTTATAGAAAAGCTGAACAAAGAAGAGCTAGAAGATAAGGATGCATTCTTTCTATAACTAAACTCTTTTCAAAGAGCTGCTAACTTTATAGCCTTCCGTTTTCATCGAATCCACAGAGGTGGCTTCCTTATTCTCCTCTGCTTATCTTTTTTATTTTTTTAATGGGTCTTAAAAACAGGAAGAAGAGGCAGTTTTCAAAGTGCCCAAAGGCACATTATTTAAGACTGAAAGCCAGATTCATACACCTTAAGGAAAAAGTAGCTGCCTGCCCGGGGCGGGGTGGGGAGTAGATGAGGAAAGAGGGAGGGAGAGTAACAGAGGACAGAGATAGCTATGTGTGTATTTGTGTATTTGTGTGTGTGTGTGTGTGTGTGTGTGTGTGTGTGAAGAGAAAGGGATATACAGAGAGACAGACAGTAGAGAAGGGAGGAGAGAGGAGGAAAACAACTGTTCCTTTT